GCCGACAGCCGCTGATGTACTCCAAATGCCCGGCCATGCCTGCGGCGCTCGAACTTCCGTTGGCGCTGGCGCTAATAGTGTTGGCCGCTGTCGCTGCTGCCTTCTCAGCCGTAAATGTAGCAACTTTTTTGAGTACATTGTTGCTAAGCGTCGTTGTTGGTGTGGCAGGGGTGGCCGGAGTCGCAGGAGTCGCAGGAGTCGCTGGAATGCCGGCGATGGCTGGTGTTGACGGTGTTGCCGTCACAGCGGCTGTGGCGGCCGATTCCGAGTATACACCAGCGGTGGTGGTAGGCGTTGATGCAGCAACTTCCGATGCTGCAATTGTTGGTGTTGTTGTGGTTGGCGTAACCAAACCAGTGGCATCCCGTTTCGATCTTGCCACTGGCGGAGGTGTGGCGGGATGTGGTGCGGGCGTTTGGTGTTGAGACTGAACAGGTGTTTGTGATGATTTAAACGAAATTATAACGGTTGATTGAGTTTCTGTCGGAGGCGGCTGCGGCGGCGGCGGCGGCGGCAACAACTGTTTGTTGTTCAAGGTGCTGGCATCTGGCGAAGGCGACAACGAAGGCGGCACGGAATATACGCATGAAAGAAATAAGAAAAAAGGGGAAAAAATATATTTTGTTACATCTCATCTGTTTGTTTTTTTTTTCTTTCGTTGCTTTGTTCGAAGAAAATGAGTCAAACTTATTTTCTTGCAATTGTTTGTGCAGCCTACTTTGGTAGGCGGTGATGAGCCGGAAAAAAGGAAATTAAAAGAAAAAAGGAAATCCGCATAAAGTAATAAAATGAAGAGAAAAGGAAAAGGTCGAACGCAGTGAGCCTTACCAATAAACCCAATAAAAGGATAATAAAATAAATAACCTCGAAAACACGGCTCGCCCGCCCAAGTGCGTGTTGGAATATTTCTTGCTTGCTGCCTGAGCTTTGAATAAATATTTTTTGCAGCCACACACACACTTTTCACGCTAAAAGCTTGCTTAGTTACCGGCTACAAACCTACACCTCCCTAACTAGCACAGCCTCAAAGCTTGCGTGCGTCCCATTTTGTGGCCTTTGGTGTTAAAAACTTTTGGGTTTCTGTTTACGTTTTATATTTTATGATTTCTTTTTTTTTTTTAATTTTCATGTACATATATAATTTTCATCATTAAGTTTCTTCAATTGCTTTCCATATGTATTTAACATAAAATCCCATAATAATTTTCCATAAGGACAGCTGCATATCGGGCGCTTTTACTTTTACTACAACCAGCTGAAAACCGAAAGCGGCATTTTTATTTGCCTAGAAGAAGCAGCTTCCGTTTGTCTGGTGGGCCGTTCGCAACTTGATTTAATTAAAAGTAAAAATGACGCGCCGAAGTTAGAGGAATAAAATATTACCTCAATATGGATACTTAAATGTAAGTATGTATGTGTGAGCTTCCTTTTACCCATTTCCAAACACTTTTTAAGGTCAATAAATGAGTAAAGAATTCGGGTAAAAATTCTTGTAATAATATCTTACAAAGCGATGCATAAAAAATTTTTTTTTTAAGAATGGACATGAAGACATTGAAAAGGATCATTAAATTCTTAGCCTTTTTGTTGCGATTTCATTGGTTAAAGTTTTAACAACTTTGAATACATATTTAGAAAGGTTACTTTTGTTTTCAAAACACAGTTTTTATAATGGAAACGAGTTTGAAAATAGGTGAAAATCAATTAAGTACAGTGATATACAGTGAATCAATAAAGTTTAGGTAGGGCAACTGTTTATATTTTATTTTTTGCTAATTTCTTACAAAAATAAGGTTAATCAGAGTTCCAAACCTTGTGCAATATTAAAGAAATGTTCATTCAATTATTGCACTTTTTATTTACACTCTTTAGAAAAAAAAATTAAGTAAGCAATGAATGAGAAAAAAAAAAATTCACGAAAAATAAAATATTTAAAAAATAAGTTCCCGTATTGCAAAAAATTTGCTGTACCTAAACCTTATTGCCTGACTGTACATGCACACATACATTTGTACATAAATACGAGTGTGAACCGCTCACAAATTATTTGAAAATTAATAATTATTTTCTTTATGGAATACCGATGCAAATCGATAGTGGGCTCAAGTTTTAATTCAGTTATTAAGTATTTCTTTTATTTTTTAAGTCCGGCCGACTAGAGTTCAAATATTCACATACGGCTCTTAAAATGTAATGAAACAAATTTCTTCCGCCAATGTTCAATTTATTAGACAGTGAAACAAATAATTTTATTGCATAAATTTCTTACGAGTACTATTGCACTTCTTTCCTCGTTTACCTGGGGCGCACCACTAATAAGGTACAAGCATTACCGTTACAAAATGCAGGATTTTCATCAAAACGCATAAATGCCTCGTAATCGTGTAAAACAACCCAAATAAACCGGTTTTCCATACAAAATTGCCCTTTAATGTTGCAAAATTCTGCAAAGCTGTTACCTAAAATTTTAAGCTTTAATTAAGAAATTGCAAAATCCTTAATAGGGAAACTACGTTCTTAAAATATCTTATAGATTTCGAAGAATTTCTACTTCGCTAGCAATTCATGAGCAAATGTATGTACAATGCACATATATGTATATAAGTAACACATCTATGGTTGCCAAATGCTCGAAGAATTTCTAAAATATTTACACAAATATTTAGGTATATATGTAAATAAATTAAAATTAAGTGAGTCTGCACGTTTCCGAATAGCTTGTCTTTCGCTTAACTATCGTCTTACTTAGTTCTAAATACATTTATTTGCCACACACACACACACACATATGTACAGTGCCGGCCATTTTAATAGCGCGCCACTTTTGCAACTCAGTATTGCCAGTTTTATTACATTTTCATTCACTTTTTATAAAATAACAGCAAATTCTATAACAAAAACCATGTAAGTCTGATTTTCAAACTTAATACAAAATTTATGTACGAAAATTCAACAAATTTTCTTCAAAAATGATAACACTTTTGAGTAAATATGCAGTTTTGTAGCCCATTGATTTTATTTTTAGAAACTTTAAACTTGCACCTTCTTATATCGAAATTGAAGCACTCTAAAGCTGCATACTCAAAAAAATTGGAAAAATTTTTGAAAATTTGTAAATTTGTTGATTTTCAAATTTTGTATAAATCGCGTTTTTGTAAATGTTTTTTTTTTATTATTATAGAATATGCAATATTTTTATAAAAAACTAATAAATAAACAAAAGGAACAGAGGCAATACCGAGGCTCAAAAGAGGGCGGTATTCAAGTGGCCGGCACTGCATATGTACATATGTATGTATGTATGAACTTGCATATATTACATACATATGTACATAGATCGTCTAGCCACCCAATGGAGTTGTGTACTTACATATTTAGCTGGCTTTTGTTGGCCAAATGGTTATTTAAATAATTTCCAACTTGTGTAGGACATGTCTGCTTGTGTATGTATGTATATGTGGTTGAAACACACTTGTGTACGCCATATATATGTACATATGGACGCCATTGAAGCAATAAACCCATGCACGTACATTGATATACATATGTACATATGTATGTGTGTACATGTGTATGTACATTTCCCAAAGAACAGCTGATGGCACTTGTTAAACACAATGCATAAATACATAAGTACATACATACATATATGTATGCATGTATTGAAATATACATATGTACATATGTATGTATGCATGTGCATTGTAATTGTAACCAAATTGTTTTTACGCGTCTGGCTTGTTTTTGTTGTTGTTGTTATTAGCATTCGACTTTCGTAATGTGTTTGCAAAATGAAAAGCATCCACCGACCGAGGAGGTCGAGCTCTCACGTCCACTATCAATGGAAGCTGAAGTGAAATTGTATGGCCAGAAACTTGCGAAGCGGAAGGGAGTAAAGTAAATGATTTTGGCACCATTTGTTTCCACTGGGTTAATGGGTAAATAAATAAACAGGAAAGGCGTGCGCCTAAAAGCCGGTCATACACTAAATATGTATGTATGTGTGTACTAAGTTGGTAGGCATTGGGAAAGTGTGCTCACATGCTTGTTACAATGGCCCTATGATAGGTTAGTGGATTTTATTTTGTATATTTATACAGAATTCAGAAAGTGATTATGGACTGCGAGTCGGGCGAAAATTGGACTATAGGTATGACTAAAGTGAAGTTTGTTGCAAGGACCTAGATGTGGGCACTACCATTACACAAGGCCTGGGTTCGAACCCGGTTTTTGAATAACATTAAAAAAAAAAATAAAAGAAAAAAAATAAAAGGAGCTCTCCCCTCGGCAGGAAATGGAAAACTTCCGGTGTATCTATTTCTGCTGTGAAAAACAGTTTCTCATAAAAAATTCAATCGCCGTTAGGAGTCGGCGTAAAACTGCGGGCCCCTTCCCCATTGTGTGACAACATCAAGGCGCACGTCACAAATCGGAGGAGAACTTGGCCAATCATTCGAGTTTTGTATAAGCGCCCATCTATTATTATGATTAGTACTGAGTTCACTTTCCAAAATCGTCTCTGTATATGCTTGATTAGAAACCCGCTGTTTATAGCCAAAAGGATTTATTAACAATGCCAACTAAAAAAGATTTTGTTAATATTAGCTCTGTGTCGTTAATGAATCCCGATATTTTTAAAGAAAGTCAGCACCTAGAAGATGTTAGTATCTGGGCTGGCTAAGTCCTTCAATAAGAAGAATGTGAGAGTTGCTGGTTCATCGTCATATTCACACATTCTGCAGAAACCGTTAGCGGAACTCTGAACTACAATATTCTACTATCACTTATATAAGGGCAAACAAGCGCTGCGACCCAGTTAGATAGATCAATTGTGCAAACGCTTGTACCCTGCAGGCTCCAGCCTCTTGAGTGAGAATCATATGGAATATTCTCTGGGGGTTTCTCCATCTGTCCACCAAATCCACAGCCCATATCGTCAGTGGGTCCCATTTTACAAGGATGGTTACTTAGCCTGGAGTGTAGGTCTTCAGGCCCATTGCACCGCGAAATCTGCATAGGTTCGATATCGCTGAGCGTATAGTCGTTTAAAAGTCTCACTCTGTGGTGAGCTAGTTTTGGGCAGGTGGTAATGCAATGGTCCTACAGAGGCCGAGGATGGTTTGTTGCACGTGTAGTCGCCTGTTAGTACTCCACACAGTGTTTCTGAGATTTTTCTACTTAACATGAGTGCCGATAGAGCTCTTTTGTTACTAAAGAAAAACAATTTCTTTGAGTGATGGTGTCCCTATAACTTATCTCAATGGCTAGCAGTGCAAGATATTGCCCACTTGTTGAGGTCCTTCTAGATATCATTGTTTTTGAATCCAAGAAATGGGCAGGGTCAACAAAAGGTATGTCTGCCCTTTTTTTCAGCTTGGAAGTCCGCTTTTTCAATGCCTTCATAGCCCTTATGACCAGGCAAGAAGATTAAGGAGACCGTATTTCGGGCGGCTAAACTATTGAGTGCTCGACGGCACTCTATAAGGGTGCGTGGTGAGAACTAGTAGCTATTTAGAGCTTTGAGGACATATTTGTTTGTCCGAAAGTATGGATTATTTTCTGTCCTAAGATCCTCTGGACGAGATTAGGAAGTCGATGAGAGTTTCTACGATGGAGCTGTTGCTGTAGCAGCTACTTAACTCTGCCTCGAGTCGGATAGTCCCTCAATAGTAGTAGTCAAGCTCAAATAACGGTAGTCTTAAGAAACGTGGTGTTTCGACGAGGTTCGGAGCGAGTGGTGATAGCTGAGTTGGGTTGAGTGCGCCCGTGAAGACGTAGTGGTGTCATGTTTGAATACTTTCGATGCCAGACCTACATTGGTATGTCGGGGTCTAGTATCGATAAATAGGAGTTAAGTCTTGTAGAGTATCCATACCGCAATTGAGCAAGAGACTGCATGATTGGAAATCTATGTGATTGTCTATTACCCTTTGATATACAGTGCACTCCCAGAAATATTAAGTAGGTTGTTATCGTAATTTTTTAGATTTGCGGACGGTTTTCAAATAAAACTTTAAAAGTATAACTCGCCGAAATATGTAACTATCAACATTCGCTGATTGTAAGTTGTTATTATTTTTACTCAATATCTATTAAAACACCTACATACATATATATTAAAAAAACGTTTGTATCTATTAATTGTTTTGATTGTTTTTATTCAAGAAGTTTTCAGAAAACTTAAGTCAAATCCTAAGATTTTAAAACGCTACATGCGAGGGAAAATTTGCTTAAGTTTTCTGGACAATTAAGATTTTCGAAATAAATAATTCTCGGAGTCCACTGTACTTAGAAATATACTTCAATGGGTGGCAATTTGAGAGTCCCCCACCTTCTAAGAAGCTCTACCGTGTAGCCCTTGTATGCACCACAGAACGTGTGCTGGCCATACAAGCATCCATATATTTACATATGTAGCAACCATCGGTGCTTTATTGGCTATCAAAGCCGTACCCGTAATGACCTGACGCCACCACAAGATGGGTAACCTTTTTCGGGTTTCGGATTCAGTGCAATTTTGCGACTGTCTACTAGCCTAAAGTTTCTAATGCAGCCTATCTCTCCGACATGAGGTTTATATGGCCAAATTAGTCTTTCTACGTAGAAATTCGAAGGCAGACACTTACATGGCAGGAATATGTTTGGATATAATTGTACATACATATTTCTAAAACCTCTGATTCTGAACTTTGCCGCCTAATTGATATTTGCTAAGTTACCTTATGCGACCGTCCCGCCTTTTAGATTCCTTGGCTGCTCACAAAATTCTGACATCCAGAAACCCATTAAATCGATTTTTAATTTGATTATGTTTCATGGGGAATACCCATACCATATACGTTGAAAATCAACTAAGTCAAATCCGTCGGTACAGGGAATATATACCTCACTAAACTACGAAATCGATCGAGTGGAAGATTGACCTATCTCGGTGCCCTATCTCAAAAAGCTTTTCAAAAACACCCTACTTCAGAATTTTATTGAAGAAAGCCCTATCTCAGCACACTTTCAATGTATTTTCAGCCGAGATAGGACGTTTTTGAACCGAATTCTGAGATAGGGTGTACTTCAACCAAATTCTGAGATAGGGTATTTTCCAATAAAATTCTGAAGTAGGGGGTTCCTGAAAAGTTTTCTGAGATAGGGCGTTTTCGAACTGGCTGCCGAGATAGGTCAATCTTCCAGCCAGGTGTAGATATAGACTACATTTTCCTATTGCAGGCGAGAAATCATAATTATTTACTTCATAGTTCAACTCTTAGTTGAATCAAGGAATTCTTTAACAATTAAACGTTCTTAATGACCTTATGTTAATGAATACGCCACAAGATCGATTAAAAATTTCTTTCACTCACCTGTCATCTTCTCCTCCGCGCCCGTCACTGCTGTCGCATTCGCTGCCGTTCCCAGTCTCGACGATAGATTGTGCAATTCAATCTTCTTTGTCTTCGCTATATTACTGAAGATATCCGCGCTGGCGCCACTTCCGCTACCCGCTGGCGCACCATCTTGTGGCGTCACTGTTGCCGCGCTGCCGCTACTCCCGCTGCTACTCAGCACTTGCGCCAACTTCTTGCCCAATTGCAAAGCCATCTGTTCATCCGGACTATCCGATTCGAGTTCCGGACTCGTATCAGGCACCAATTCCCAATATGTCGTTTGTGAGACTGACAAATGTGCTACCTTATCGGCGCGATGTCGTCGCTGGAGCTCGTGCACTGCGCGCGCTGTTGTCGGCGATAGTATGCCCGAGGTGTCGGCTGATGTTATGCTGATCTCACTGATCGGTCGTTCTTTGATAAGCGTTGGTAGATCGTTGAGACCGCGCGCTGCCAAACGATTGTATGCGCGTGAGAATCTGTCCACTTCATTTGTAGCTTCTGGACGTAGTTGTTGCTCGCCGATGCTACGCGGTGATATGGGGTCTGTAAAGAGTGAATCAGAACTAGTTGACAATTCCTTGAGTAGAACAATATCGTAGTTTTGTTGTTGTTGTTGTTGTTGATGTTCTGGCTGTTGCCGTGTAATCTGGCGACCCGAGACGAGCATGTTGTTGTACTCATCATAGATCTCCCCTTCGTCAAGTGCGTCTGCAGTGTTTTTTGTTTTTTTTTTGAGAAGAAATTGTGCCGCAGCAGCGAAATTGAGGTGATAAGAAGAGCGAAATGTTAGAGAGAAAATAAATATTTTTACATTTGCTTTAAGGTATCGTAGCAATGAGAGTGAATCAATGGAAGGGGGATGCGGATGCGCTGAGTTGGGAAATATTTGAGAGGAGATGCTAGTTTCCGGTGAGGCAGTAGGTAATGATTTTTCTGATTGAATTTCTAGTTGATTTTCTAAGAATCTAAAGCGTTCTTCTAGAAAGATGTTATAACAAGAATACTAGTGCAGCTATCTAAAAAAAAGCTTTCTAAAAAATGCTAGTACGCAATTTAATACTGATTATTTTTCGTTTTGTTTAATGCGTCCATTATATGCAGCTGGGCTTGATATATAAAATCATACGATATTTTAGGTTCTTTGAAGATGAACAAAATTAAAAGAAAAGAGTTAAAACGCAGAGTTCTGACTCCGAAGTTTTCGCCATTAAGTACTCGCATCAACCGCTCTAATAGCTGCTACTCCTGGAACCATTTCTGCCACTAGGAAAGATACCTTTCCTTAAAGATGTGGGATATCTGTGAGTTAATCTTGATGAAATCCTCTTTTAGAATCCGCGCCTATATAAAACTATTGAAAAGATCAGGACCTCCACTTTTTTACTTGACGGAAGCTAATGCGGAGTTATGGCTATCCTAACATCTGCCACACTCGTCCGGTGAAAGAAAACAAAATCGAAGTCTAGCTCAGAAAACTCTCACGAATGGCACGGTCGGTACTTTCCATTTAATAATGTATTCTCTACATAAACTTAGCCTACCGATGCGTCGAAATCGCTCGGAGCGGAGTAAGGCAGCGTATCTGTCCAGAGAAGAGTAAGTCAACGACCTGTTTGAGCCTCTGGTAATAAGACGCTGTCAGCATCTAGCGCTAATTGTTAGATGGAAGTTTTTAAACACCCTGTATGAATTTATGCAAGGATACCTAAACTTTGTTGTAAAGAGGGTTACGAATTGTGAACCAGCCGTGAAGCCTCATAAAAAGGGGGTGAAATATAAAATAGCTATTCCACCTCTAACATTGGTATTCCACTTATTCTCCGAGAGAGGGTGGAGTATCTGGGTTTGATCCTAGACAGAAAGTTATTCTGATATCTCAGATTCGCTTTTCAGTTTAAAAAAAAAAATGTTACTATCCTCTCTCAAGAAATGATTGACTTGTTTCTTTCGCTCCGTTAGTAATTGAACTACTGAGTGCGCTTTATATAGCAAAAAAAGTCGGGGACGTTCGCCGAGTTCAAGTCGCCTAAACAATCCAGAAAATACTTGTTGAAGAGGTGGTTGCGCGTGTTGGCCAGGTTGGCACAATGGCAGAGATGGAGTTCGATGGTCTCCTCCTCCTCCTCGTCCCTGCAACTGCGACACAAATCGTTGGTGGGGTATCCTAACCTTTTACCTGTGTGCCCATCAGGCCGTGTTCGGTGATTACGCCGACTACTAATCTGAGAGAAGACCGGCCCAGTCGAGTAAGAGCTAAGGATTGTCTTACATCAATCTTTGGCCAAATTTTCCTGGTAGTATGGCAGTTGGTTTCCACAGCCCACCTGTTATTCACCTCCTCAATGAGTTCAGCCTTTGGTCTGTGTTTGCAAGAGGTTAGAGGTATGCCCGCATTCTGAGCAGAATTGACTTCAAATATTTCCGTCCCGCTCCTTGCCACCTCGTCGGCTAAGAAGTTGCCAGGAATGTTCCTATGTCCAGGGACATATACAACAGTCAAGGAGCATTTTGATGCCAACAGGTTGAGAGTCTTCCTGCATTCTATGGCTACTTTGGACGTTGTTCCGTTAGATTTGAGAGATTTGATAGCAGTCTGGCTGTCAGAATAAATAGCGATAGGCCATCCCGGAGGGGCGGAGGTCAAGAGCCACGGAGCCGAGTTATTATGGCGTTTAGCTTTGCCACCCTACAACCCTACATAGAAACATATGAACTAAATAGAATTCATCCCAGACCTGCAATCAAATAGAGGTTTGTTAAAATAGGTATACATTTTTCAGAAATATATGTACGCTTAAAACTTGGAAGTATGAATTGAGAACATACTCCGAACCAGGGGCGCTCAGCAAATTGAACTTACTGAGCCAAACGACAAAAACGCTCCTCATCGAAGTAATCGCAAACAGGATTTATTTTTAGTTGTTACGTGATTATGTCAAAAGAACAGGGATTACGTCTCGCAAGTGAAACAGCTCACATTTTTTTTAAATATTTGCACGCCTATAATCAATCTTCCCACCATATGCTTGGAATAAACAATTAAAGTACAGAATTTATGACATCAAGCCTTTAATTCGGAGCCAATTTATGGCAGAGTCATACTTTACGCATTGTATACACAAAAATATAGTTGCATATGTATGTATGGAAATATGTACATATGTATATACATTAGGGTGGTCCTTAAATGTAGGGAGGCAATATAAATTTTGGTCCCGATTGAAGTCGGTTAAGGCGTGCCGCGCAGGGGTCATAATTAGATTACCCTATAAAAGCGTCATATCCTACTCCAGTCGGGGCCAAAATTTATATGTGATATCCCCGACTAGTAGTATCGATTTTGGGTATCAAATAAAACGAAATATTTTGAATTTTTTGGGTCCTTGGAGGCCTCCGGCCTTTGCCCCCTGTCCGACACGCTTCAACCGTCTCCAATCAGGAGGGGAAAAAACGTTCATTTGATTTTAAGGACCACCCCAAAATACATACATATTTTGTTCCTCAAGCACAGCCCACACATCAAAACTAAAGGCTATAATAGCAGCCAGACAAAAAAGCGACAGCGGCGTCGTAAACAAATGGCAGTTGCCAGAAGACAAAGCGAAAGAAAGAACTTAAAAAACACAAGTATTCCAGTCCAGTTCCAGGCCAACAGCGACCAGCAGGGGGGTCTTAGTACTGGAAATAAAATTACATACGAAAATTATCCAACAGAGTGAGAGATAGATAGAGAGAGAGAGAGAGAGAGAGAGGGAAGAATATAAGCAAGAAATGGATTGATGGCAAATAAATTTAGCCGGCTCAGAACCAGAATAAAAAGGTTGAAAGTGGAATGTGTGAAAAAGAAAAGAAAGTGGTAATACTCGTATAATAAGCGACTTAGCGACCTGGGGGGTGGGAATTAGGAAAAATAAAGGCGTTAAAAAGTTACCGGAAGCATGTTAAGGTCGCTGCTTGACATACAAAGGTCATGTGTTCGACTTAGAATAGGATTTGTGCTAAAATAATAGCTTTATTTATAACTCAACAACGTCTATGTAACACATGTATGTTTGTATGTAGATACGTATATAAATTTTTATTTTTTTTTTTAATTTTCATGCGCAAAATACCGTAAAAAATAGTTTATGGCTCGCATTAGCTAGCATTCTGTTTTGCTAACCCAAGGGACGCGCTCGAACAGTGCATGTAATGTAAATTTTAATATGTATGTATGTTTACATACATACATACATATATATGTATGTACATGACTGTTTGTGGTTATTCGCTTGGAACTGGAATTCGACCGCGGCGGAGTCGCTGAACTGCG